AAGAGGTAACTATGGGGAGGAAGTGGGAGGGGAGCTGTTGCATTGTAAATTTTGGTCAATGACATGAGACAAAGTATATGTGAACTGCTGTATGAAAAGTAAATTTACTCTGTAAATCTTCACCCAAATCAAAATAAAATTAAAAAAATAAATAAATAAATAAACAGAAACATACATTTCCTATTTGAATAAAACTTCCACCCCCTTCTTGACTTGTCCTGTGACGACTTGTTCACTTGTCTCCATGGACACCTCTTCTGGCTTCTTATACCTCACTTGCCACCATCCTGTCTGTGGGGACTCCACCTCTTCTCCTAGTTGTCTAAATACCTACCTACCCTCTACCTACACTCACTCCTTGGTGATCTCATCCAGTCCTGTGGTGTTAAATACCATCTATACTTTAATAAGCCCCAAATTTATGTGATCCCTGAACTCCACACTCTTAACCAGTGCCTACTAGCCATCTCCACTTGGATGTCTCTAATAGGCAACTACACTCCACAAGTCCCAAACCAAACTTCTGATCTTCATCCTTGCCCAAGCCCTCTCTTCCCATAATTTTCCCATCTCATTAAATGGCAACTCTCTTGGACCCAAAAACCTTAGTGTCATCCTTAGCTCCAGCCTTTTTCTCATACCCACATGTAATCTGTTCAGCAGATCCTGCGGGGCTACATCTACGTACACCAAGAATCTGATTGCTTCTATTTCCACTGCACCACTTCACTGTTACCAGAATTAGTACAATAGCCTCCTAGCTGGAATCACGGCTGCCGCCCTTGACCCCAAGAGCCTATTCTCAAGAAAACAGAGTGACGCTTTCAAAACATAAATTAAGTCATGTCATTCTCCTGCTCAAATACTCCATCAGCTTCCTATCTCATTCAGCCCATAAGCCCAAATTCTTACAATGGCCTATACAGTGCCACAGGGTTTGGTGCCCTGAACTTCTCTGGTCACCTTGCCCTCTCACATCCAGATCCAGCCATTGAACATACTATTGATGTCCCACCTTAAACACCTTCCCTATAAAGAAATAAACTAAGCAGATACTTAGTTTATTAATGTGAATGTTATGTGACAGAATAGAGTTGCTATAGGTAAATAACACACCCACATAGAAATAGCCACCAGCGTTCGCTCCCTCATCTTCTGCATGGCTTCATTTACTCTCCATGAAGCTCTCTTTGACCACCCTATTTAAAATTGATACATACACACAAACATGCCCAGCATTCCCTATCCTCTTCCCAATTAATTTTTATCCATGATTGTTAACACCATTTGACATATCTCCCTTGTCTCTAGGTCAATTTTGCCCAATAAAGTAGCCATGAACCACACACAGCTATTTAAATTTAAATAAAATTAAAAATTCAATCTTGTGTCATATTCCAAGTACTCACTTACCACATGTGTCTGGTGGCTGCCATACTAGACAACATAGACAGAGAACATGTCCTTTATCACAGAAAGTTCTACTGGACAGTACTGTTCTAGAGGGTAAGCTCCACAGACAAAGACACTCTGTCTGCTTTTATCTGTCCCACATACACGTGGGACAGATATAAGCAGACATATATGCTGCTGTTGTTGTATGCCACTGAGTCAATTCCAACTCATAGCAACCCCATATGACAAAGTAGAACTGCCTCATAGGGTTTCTTAGGCTGTAATCTTCACAGAGCAGATTGCCAGATCTTTTCTCCCACGGAGTTGCTGGTGGGTACAGACAGCGATCTTTTGGTTAGTAGCCAAGAGCCTAACCACTGTATCACCAGGGCTCCTTGTCTACATATGCAGGCCCACAGAACTCTCCTGGTCCTAGGAATCCAGCTATGTCTGATAGGCCACAAGAGTGCACGTGGAAACAGCCACCACCATCTGGGCCACAGAGGAACAGTTCTCAACACAACACCTTGGTATTTCAAATCTATTTCCATGTTTTTTCACACGCATATATATATTTTTGTCTCGTAATACATAATACAATGGGTTAATGATAGCTTCCTTATTTCCTCTGATACCATCTACCTACAAACTCTGCATAAAGCAGATACTTGGTTTATTAGTGTGAATTCTATGTGACTGAATAGAGTTGCTACAGGTAAAGAACATGCTCACGTGTGCATGCACTCACAGTACGGGGTGAACAATCAGCTCCGGGCTGTATGACTTAATCACTGGTGCGGCCTCCCTGGTACAGAACACGTGGGATAAATCTGCACCCTGAGAAAGGAGATAAAGGAAGCAGAATTAAAACAGGGGACTCACTCAGAGAAACACTGAAACTGGTTTTCAGGTACAAGGCCTTTCCCAACAAGATACGGGATGCTAATCATTCAAATTACTCAGTATTCCATGTTAAAGAAAAGAAAGAAAGAAACAACAGTAGTTAAACCACAACTATATGCCTTAGGAAAGAGATAAGTAACATACAGGAAATGCCTACAAATAAAGATGGATTTTGCTGCCACCTAAGAGGCAGCATCAAACTCAGACCAGCTCAGATTTAAAAGTTACATTTTTCCTTCTGAACCTTCATCATCCATGAAGATCCACCACAGGAAGTCACACAGCTGAGAATTCCAACCCATATCCTGCTAACTGTTCTGACTGGGCAATCAGGACTTGCAAAGGAAATAGCCTCATTTAATAGGTGTCAATTGCTTAAGTTAGGACCTGAAAAGGCATCCAGGATAATTTTTATGAAGTATGATACTAATAAAACTTTAATTACCAAAAAAAAAAAAAAATGGGTTTCAATTCAAATTATTCTGTCACTGCACAAGAAGTCAGGATAGATTTATAGGTTTTCCTATTACCTATGATTACCCTAAGATGCTATTTAGATTTCAGTCAGAAAACATTGGTTTAACTTTATTAAACAATCTAAGTCTTTAGTAAAAAATCCCAATAAAGAAGTTTTAAGCAGACATACCACTTTGAGGGCTGAGATTGCTGCAAAATACGGAGCTCCAGTGTACCTAAAAACAAGATGTTGAGAGTCACAAAACTACTGAGAATGAGACACATTCCCCAAGTGTATTGACAGACAATACAGGCATGAAGCATATGGCACACTCAACACTTAGTGCATACTCAGTAAATATAAAACAGGACCAGAAAAGCTAATGTTTTATATAAAACCTTTGCACAATTTCAATACACAATGTATATGTGTATGTTCAAACCAATGGGCTGATAAGACAGCAAGAATTACCATGTTTGAAAGTGATATGAAGCTCAGAGAAATCAGAATAGATAGTGTCCCAGATGAGACAGGACACAGTTCTCAAAAAGTAACAATGAATAGAGGTAAGAGTCATCTTACATTTGGGACCAAACATAGGCCCTCAAGGATAAATAACAAGAGATTACATATACTTTCCTCCTGCTTCCAGAATTCCTGTAACTTAATTTTTAACATCACTTCAAGTACAGGAAAGAAAATCTCTGAACCTAACTGAGTGGCTGTAACTTTTATGTTAATTCCAAACAGTAATACTAACCAAGTTAAAACCAACTGGAGAAGAAAAATGAGTACACAGAAAAAGAAGGCTGGTATACTTTACTTACATGAAGTTCTCTCATTGAGCTATAAGAAAGAGTTCCACTAACTAGATAATAGATACATATTAATCTGGGTGAAAGAAGAAGCCATATACCTATAGGAGATCAGCACAGTATTACTAAGGCAAGGAAGGCACCGAGAAGTGCACAAAAAAATACTGATGAATATCATGATAGCAAAAGAAAGGACAGAACATGCATTCACACACAAACACACACAACATGAAGATAAACCCCACCAGTAAAAAAAAAATACACTAATAATAAAAATTGTTTGTCTACTAGATTCACAAAGATTGATAATACCTACAATTTGCAAGAGTTTAGTAGACTAGGTGCTCTTGAACACTGTTGGTGACAGTACACACCAGTCATTTTGAGAGGAGGGAACCTGGCAACATTTTTCAATATTCATATATACATGTATTTTGATCCAGTAAATATTCTGGGAATTAATGCTTCAGAAATAACTAGATATATATACAATGTTATATATGTACAGGGATGTTTAAGTCATACTGTTAACAGAAGAAAAAAAAGTAGAAGTAACCTATTGTCTATCAACAGAGAATTAGTTGAATAAATTAGGGCCCATCCTTATAATAAATACCATACATTCACTTATATAGAATAGATCTATATGAATCAACACGAAAGATATCCACAATATAGCAGTAAGTGGACAAGTTATAAGCATAGAAAAGTCTGGAAAGCTAATAACATCAATAATTGATTATGTGGAATAGTGTAGGGTTTTTACTTCACACATTTCCACGGTGTGTGAATTTTTTACAGTAAGCAGATAATACTTACATTGCCCAATAAGACAGACTGACACAGTGGCTGTACAATGGGCTCAACCACAGTAATGATTATGAGAATGGCGTAGGACCAGGCAGTGTTTTGTTCTGTTGTACCTAGGATCACTCTGAGTCAGAGCCAACCTGATGGCACCTAACAACAACAACTTTTATAACCAGAAAAAAGATAATTCCACTTTTAAAGGTTAATCCCTAACACTAACAGATGTATTTTAAATTAGATAATTATACTCTAGAATGCTGCATTACTAAACTTATCTCAAAACAAAAACTGATGGCCAATTCTTGCCATAAAGTCTTCCTAAAATATAAGACTGGTGAAGAGGATTTGGGAAACACCTCTAACTCTCTCAACTCTCTCATAGGATGCCTCACTAGGTACATTTGAGCATGGTCCAGGATTTCTGGAAAAAAGAGATCAGGATGGGTCTTTGCTTCCCTTCAGTACCAGGTGGGAACCAGGTGGGAACCAAAGGACCAGTGACAGTGGGACAAAGGCCAGCAGCTGGGGGCCATGGGTCTGCAAGAGGTCTGTCATCCTCCAGGGTAGGCAGCCTCCTGGTGCCAAGTGCTAGCAGTTTGCTAGGTGATGTCATTCACAGCTGATCCACAAAAGTGAAACTTACTTATGCCTTCTACTGCTCAAGAGTTCACTCATACTGGAGAGCCCTTAACAGCTGGACCTGACAGAGCCAAGAGCAGACAAAAATGTATAATACCACAGTTGAAAGAATGAGGTGGGGGAATGGAGACACATCTGTAGGACTGATGAACTAACTGCAGAGTTAAAGAAAAACTTTCAATATACGGTTTTAAGAGATTTCAAGTAAATGCAGGAACAAAAGGCGTTTTAATTAAAAAAATAAAAAGGAACTAAAAGCATGACTTTCAGGTTTCAGAGAACAAGTAGAAGATTAAAACAAGGGGGCGGTTTCGAAAGGAGACAGAAATTACAAAGGGAAGTATCAGAGACTTGGAGAACAGATATGAGTGCAACACAATGTAGGAGAAAATAAGAACAGGCGAAAAGTAGCTAATAATCAAATCTGTTGCTGTTAAGTCAACTCCAATTCATAGCAACCTTGTAAGACAGAGTAGACTGCACTCTAGGGTTCCCTAGGCTGAAATCCTTATAGACAGAGACTGTGACATCTTTCTCCCACATAGTCACTGAAGGGTGAACCACCAACCTTTTAGTTAACAGGCAAGCTACTTAACCACTGTGCCACCGGGCCTCCTTCTGATAACCAATAAAAAACCAAAACCAAACCCGTTGCTGTTAAGTCATTTCTGACTCACAGTGACACTAGAGAACACAGCAAATCTACCCCATTGGGCTTCCAAAGTTGTAATCTTTATGGAAACAGAACAACAGGACTTTTCTCCTGAGGAGAGGCTGGTGGATTTGGTTAGCAGCCAAGCGCTTTAACCACTGTATCACCAGGGCTACGATAACCAATAAACCAAAATAAATAAATAAATAAAACCTCAAACCTATTGTGGCTGAGTAGATTCTGACTCATAAATAACCAACCCAACTCACTGCCATCGAGTTGATTCTGACTTGCAGCGACCCTATAGGGCAGAGCAGAACTACTCCATAGAGTTCCCAAGGCTGTATATCTTTTGGAAGCAGACTGCCACATCTTTCTCCTATGGAGTGGCTGGTAAGTTCAAACCACTAACCTTTCGGTTAGCAGGTGAGCCCTTTAACCACTGCACACCAGATCTCCAAAAAAAAAAAAAAAAAAACGTTGTTGTTGTTAGGTGCTGTGGAGTCAGATATGACTCTATGTACAACAACACAAAACACTGCCCAGTTCTGTGCCAAAAAAATAGTAGAGGCAAATTTCCTTTGTCCAAAGGAACTTATACTTGCAGACTGAAAAGACTCACCAAGTTTTAAGCAACATTAATGAAAAAGATAGATATAACCCAGAGAATCTGTTGAATTCTAAAGAAAAATTTTTTTTACAAACTTCTAAGGTAGCATAGTGGTTAAGGCACTTGACTGCTAACCAGAAGGCTGGCGGTTCAAACCCACCAGCCACTCCTTGGAAGGAAGATGGGGCAATCTACTTCCGTAGTGATACTGCCTCGGAAACCCAAGGAGGGGTCGCTATGAGTCGGGTCCGACTTGACAGCACAACAACAAACAAAAAGAACAAGTTACTTATAAACAAAAGTGAAATGGACATGTATCAGACTTTTCAGGTCCAATAATAGAAGTTATTGGATTACCAAAAGAAAAAGACTGCTATTGTCATTAGGTGGGAGCTCTGGTAGTGTAGTTAGTGCCTAAGGCACTTGACTGCTGACCAGAAGGCTAGCAGTTCAAAACCACCAGCCACTCCTCAGAAGGAAGATTGGACAATTTACTTCCGCAGTGATAATGCCTCAGAAACCAAAGGAGGGGTCTCTATTAGTCTCATGCGACTCAATGGCAGTTGAGTTTGGTTTGGTTTGATTTAGGTGTCATGGAGTCAGTTCTGAGCCACAGTGACACCATGTGCAACAGAACAAAACAGTGCCCAGTCCTACCCCATCATCACAATCATTGCCATGTTTCAGCTCACTGCTGCAGGCACTGTCTCAATCCATCTCACTGAGGGTCTTCTAGCTCATTGAGGGACTGCTAGCGGCCTAAACATTCTACACTCAGCCAGTTCAATTCACCCACTACAGAAGGTCTGGAATGATTCAGAGCATAGATCACCCACACATTCTGCCCAAAGAATATGTACTACACAAAAACTCAAAGCATTCCTACCTAAACTATAAACCATAAGGGAAGACAGGAAAATAAATGGCAATATATCTTGCAATATACAAAATTAAATTTAATACCCAAGAGTTCAGCTAGGAATTCTTAGTGTAATGGGTAATTAAGGAAGCATGACACGAAAGAGGGCAAAGTAGGGACTAAAAGTCATCTAAAGATTTCATCTTTCTGGAGGAGGGGAGGAGGTAAGCCAATGATAACTGTCTCTCCCGCAAGTTGCTTTATGCATTTTGACTTAATTATGATAGAGAAGTCACCAACTAAATTTGAAAGCGTAACACAATTTCCAAATTAATAAAAGAAAAGCCCTAGTAAAAATAAGGGCAGGAAGAATGGAAACACAAAGTAAAATAAAGAGTGAATATAATAAATCTTAGAAAGCACATCAGGTAAACTCTAAATATGAATAGACTTATTTCTCCTATTAAAAATTGCTGATACTGTCGGATTGGGTTAAGAAACAAAACCTAGCTACATATTATTTGTAATAAGTATACCTAACTATGTAATTGTTGTTCTTAGTTGCCATTGAGTCCATTCTGACTCATGGCAACCCCCTGTGTGCAGAATAGATAGCTCCACAAGGTTTTCAAGGCTGTGACCTTTTGGAAGAAGATATCTTCTTTGGAAGAAGATATCAGATGTCTTCTGAGGCATCTCTGGGTGGTTTTGAACCATCAATGTTTCAATTAGTAGTAGTCCAGCACTTAACAATTTGTGACACCCAGGAACTCCATAACTCCATGACAAACAATTGAAAATAAAAGGACAAGCAAAGAGATAGCCCCTAAATGCAAACAGAGTAAGTAAAAACAGAAACAGTAATTAAAGGAGAACTTAAGCCAAAAGCAGTTGATACCATTGGCAAAAAAGGACAAATTATAAATCTTTATGTGCAAACAACATAACAGCAAAATATATAAGACCGAAAGGCAATGCAGGCCCCAAAGAAAGCAAACAGCTGTTAAAAAGTAACTTCAAGAAATATCTTTAAATAGATCTAGATTTAGCAAATATGAAGTAGATGATTCTGTTTTGTAATGACTTGTTAAAACTCCATTTTGCAGCAAAGTCCATTTCACAAGCCCTCCAGCATAACAGCATTTCTACTTCTCCCTACCCTTCTCAGAGAGCCCAGTAGCTATCTAAACCAAACATCCCTGAGAACCCACTCACTCCTTCCTTTCCCTGAGAGCTCTGTTAATAGTAATTCTTGGAGTTAGGGGCCCACATCCTGCCAACAGAAAGTCTCAGAATTGAGGACCCTCACTCCGGATTGTGTGTTTCCATTCTGATAATAAACTGACCACAATCTTCCTCAAAATAGTAAGCTAACCATTTATCCTCCCTAAACAATAACCTGGAAATTTATCTCGCTTCTGTAACACGCTTGCTTGCCTGCTTGCAGTCCTAAGCTATATAAACCTGCCTGAAATCAGGCTCGGGGCTGCAGTTGGGGAGAGTGCTTTACTTCCCTGCAGCCCAGCTACAGCTGAATAAAGACTTTTCCAAATTCTGGACATTATAGTGGTCATCAATTTCTTCTGAACCCACAACAAATGGACACGGAGTATTTTTATTCTGATTATAAAAGTAATACGTGCTTATAATACGAAGTCTGGTAAATGTAGAAAAGTACAAATTATGAAAAAATAGTTTCATCATCCTACCACAGGCAAAACCTTAATGCTGACACAGGCCAGTGAACAACTCAACACATCTCAAGAGTTTTTTCCCACTTAATCAGAAAGTTGATCACTGAAAAATATTGAATGTCATAACATCAGACTATATTTAGAAATTATTACTGGAGTCAAACTAGAGAGAGAGAGATAGGTAGATAGATTGTTGTTGTTGTTATGTGCCATGGAGTCAGACCTGACTCACAGCTACCCCTCCTTGGGTTTCCGAAGCAGTATCACTATGGAAGTAGATTGCCCAACCTTCCTTCTGAGGAGTGGCTGGTGGGTTTGAACCGCCAACCTTCTGGTTAGCAGTCAAGTGCTTTAGGCACTACACTACCAGAGCTCCCAGGTAGATACATATATACATACAAAGATAGATAATAGAAAGACAGATTAAACACGATTAACATTTTACATTTATAACTTACTCTTGACAGCCTCCAACTATGCCTATTCTTCCATCTTCTCCTTTGTGCTTTTTGGTAGTTAGAGGAGGTATAATATTTCTCACCAATTGAAAAGTATTTTCCATATCCTTTACTGAATGTGCTTTATGTAGTGAAAATGCTCTTTCTAAAACTGAAAAACAGGAAAATGAAGTTCATTCAGAAAGGTAAATATCTCTTGTTATACAGAAAGAACAGACTTAAACAAAATAGTCATTAACTGAAATACTTTTCAAAAATGACTTAATATAAATGCTGTAGATTTTTGTCCAGTGGTTTCACTATTTTATTTCTGTAAGCAAATTATGTTCAGAAATTATAAGATAACACTAATACATGCTATATATATCAAATTTAAGGAGCCCTCGTGGTGCAGTGGTTAAGGGCTCAGACGAAAGGTCTGCAATTTAAACCCACCAGCCCCATCAACTGCACCAGCCGCTCCAAGGGTGAAAGATCTGCTAGTCTGATTACAGCTTTGGACACTCTATGGGCAGTTCTCCTCTGACCTATGGGGTCTCTATGAGCTGGAATTGACTGGATGGCGCACAACAACATATCAAGTTTATTTCTGAAATGGATCAGATGCTTTGAAAGACATCTTAATCTTTCAGAAAGTTTTATAAACTAAAAAAGCAATGCTACTTGATAAACTATACCTATTTGTATTTCAATCTTCCTTCAAGACGGAGCTCTCATGATGTAGTGCCTAAGGCATTTGACTGCTAACCAGAAGCTTGATGGTTCAAACCCACCCAGCTACTCTGTGGAAGGAAGATTGGGCAATCTACTACCATAAAGATTTGCCACCTCAGAAACCCAATGGGGGTCGCTATGAGTCGTAACTGACTAGATGGCAGTGAGTTTTGTGACTCAAGTTTATGAGGTCTTTTCTATCCCTTCACAGTGGAAAAGCAAGTGCCCATCTGTTACCTTCCAATGTCATATTCTAAAGCCTGACAGATTCATCAAATTGTTCCAATCCAATTTTTCAAGTTGTATGGCCAACACTAATTTGGATACTAATTAGATAACCTAGGAATGGCACTCTAAGTAGAGGACATAAGATATTTTAAATTGAGTTCAAAGTGGCCTTTAAAATAATTTGACCATTTAAAGTTATCTCTAAGTAGCCACATTTTAACTGGTCTCTCTTGAAAAACTTTCCACCTGGCTATATTTTGCCTTAATATTTAAAACAGCTTAGCTGTGAGAGAAATGCCGATTCTTCCATAGAACCCAATGTATGAACAGATAAAACATATATTCTCTGTAGGATGAAAGGATCTTTGAAAATATAAAACCGTATTTTCTCAAACAAGGAACTGATATTTTTATCCTTTCAATTATCTCACAGCTGAGAAAAATTAGAAATGTGTTCAAAGCTTAACCAAAGACTAAAGCTGACACATTTCTGTATGGTAAACGTTTTATTTTTAATGTTGTTGTTGTTGTTGTTATGTGCCATCGAGTCGGCCCCGACTCATAGCGACCCCTCCTTGGGTTTCCGAGGCAGTATCACTACGGAAGTAGGATTGCCCAACCTACTTGGGTTTGAACCGCCAGCCTTCTGGTTAGCAGTCAAGTGCTTTAGCCACTATGCTACCAGAGTACTCTTTAAAATTTACTTCTTATTTAAAAATTCTTTCTTATCCAATGAAATTATTCAGATAAGTTTCTTTTATGAGCAGATGTTAATGCCTTAGCTGATATGTCCCATGCTTAAGCCATAAAATGAAAATGTAGTATTAATTATTCTCAAAGCAAATATCTTTTCACCTTCTTCCAAACCAACATAAAATTAAAACTCAGAATTACTCTGTAAACCTTTGGCCAAGAAAAAGCACAACTAGTCTTGATCAATGATAAATACAGCTGGCTAATCCCTCCGCTCCACGGTCTTTGATTATAACCGACATTCGGCTCCCAGTGAAATAAGTAAACAGCTTTCATCTGCAGAACTACTTCCCATCTGATTTGGAGCCGGGCCACAGAGGCAAGGCAGTGTGACACTGAGTTAACAAAGCAACACTGCTCTAAATCTTTCTTCCTCTCCCGATTCATTCAACTTCCTGTATTCTTGTTCCATACCCTGAATCCCAAGATTATGCACTATCTTTCTTCCCTGTGCATGTTTAAACACATTAGACACCACTATGCTTTGAACAGCTTAATTGTGAAATGCTCCTTCCCTGACGCTACCTTTGATGAACTGCATGAAAGGAATTAGCGTTGCTATAATTAGATTTAACTCCAGTATCACTGAATGCTAATGAAGAATCCATGCTGCTCTGAAAATGCTTCACATGTGTTTGCTGGAAACCTCAACATGGCCAGTGTAATAGCAATACGACTAAGCAACAGAAAAAAAAAATATTAAAGAATATTCACTTCTTCAAATTCCTCAGAACAAGAAATACAGTTGCTTTTCAAAGTTTGTTGTTGTTTCTGTTGTTATGTGCGATCGAGTCGGCCGGACTCATGGTGACCCCTCCTCCTTGGGTTTCCCAGGCAGTATCATTTCGGAAGTAGATTGCCCAACCTTCCTTCCCAGGAGTGGACTGTGAATACAGAATCCAAACTTACCGGTCACTCACGGTTGTTCTGGCTTCCTTACAATGTTTCAGGCTTATGTATCATCCTTCTTTACTATATACTAAGTTTCCAGCTACATATAAAATATTCCTAAAACCAAGTTCATTTCTTTGTGTTACACGTGCTAGATATCCCTCCCTATTCAAAGAGTTGTAAGTTCTAAGTTTCAAAGAGTTCTACAATTTTCCAAACTAGCATTTCAAAAATTCTTCAGGAAGTGGCTATTCAGCTATTACATTCTATTACTTAAGAATTAATTACTGTCAGTATTACCACTGAATGGACACCATGTCAGTCTTTCTTCATATTTATTAATTTACATAGTTACTAAGTCTGGGGAAATGAAAGTCATTTTTATTGTTTTGTCACTTAAGATACATAAAATACCTTAAAGGGTATATGCCTTAAGAGGCATGTACTCTATAAGTTAATTTCCCTAATCTTTCTGTCTAAAAATGGGAATTTTAAAAGATAGAAAAGTGTAGACAAATGAGTCAAATTACTACTATAATTTCCCCCCAATATGCAGTAATTTAAGCTTTCGTCTTTACACTAGAATTCAAGATGAACTTGTGGACCTTGCATTAATATAACAGGGGGTAAGCATTTTATTAAAGCTTCTACAACCAAAAGAAGAAAAAAAGAACAGGAAGAATGAATTAGATTATTAGGAAAAGCTCAGCCAAGTAAAATTTTCTTCAAACAAACATAAAAGATCTGTACAAACTCAATTTTCTAGAGTTTTCACAAACATATTTTTTCTTTAAGCCAGGATGTTTGCAAAGGTTATATAAAAAATTAATCTAGTATTTCCCTCCTGAATTTTTATACAAGTTATCCACCCAGAGATGCCTTGGAAGAAAGAGCTGGCAATCTATCTCTGAAAGATCAGTCACTGAAAACCCTATGGGACACAGTTCTGTTTTGCCACACATGGCGCTGTCATGAGTCTGAATCAACATAGTGGTAATTGGTATGGTTGCTTTGTTTAGTTCCACTATATAATGTCTGATCATTAAGGAATGAAAATGAGATGAACACATGAGCACCATGAAGTGACAAAACAGAAGTATTATGAACCCCATTATAAAAATCCTTCCAAGCAGGTTAAGTTAGTTTCAAAATAACGTACTTGTCTTTATTAAAACATTTATAGGTATAGATCAGAGCTTCTTCTTTGTTGAGGGCTGGGGGCTATTCTATACACTATAGGATGTTTACCTGCATTCCAGGCTGTACTTTGAAGATGCCAGTAGCGCAAACACCTTCCACTCAAGCTGCAACAACCAAAATGTTCCTAGACATTGCCAAATGTCCTAAGGGGCAAAATCAGCCCCAAATGAGAATCACTGGTATAGATGCATGAATGTAGTTTTAGCATCTTTAAGTGTACCAATGCTTCAAATTAAATCCTATTTAAAGTCATATAAAATTGTGACTTTTAAAATTCACATCTGAATAAAACAATTTAGCTAGACTTCAATTTATGGCTGTTAAAAATTAACATTTTATACCAACCTAATACACCTGATGAAAAAGATTCTTAAATTAATGGTAATGTTTGATAAACTCATCCTTACACTAAAAAAAGGAACTAAACCAGTACAGTTTTTAAAATGCCTCCTTCGCCTAACTACCTGAGATTCACATATTCCAAACATTTACATTTAAAATTTCATGTCAAGCCTTTGAAAAATCAGCAATATTATAGACATGGTACGAAGTACTTAATCTTTAAATCAAACAGGGCAAGTATCATGAACCGAAAGGGGCCCTGGTAGTGCAGTAGTTAAGTGCTCATTGATAACCTAAAGTCAGCAGTTCAAACCCAGCAGCTGCTTTGCAGGAGAAAAATGTGGCAATCTGCTTCCATAAATATTACAACCTTGGAAACATTATGAAGAAGTTCTACTCTGTCCTACAGAGTTGCTCTGAGTCAAAATACACTGGAGTCTTTTTTTTAATCATGAACCAATATTTAACTACCCGTCTGTACTTGGTCTCATAGCCAGAAAAAATTCCATATACTACGAAAACAATCTGACACAAAACTAAGCTGTCACGTGTCAAACCACGTGTCAAAATGCAATACCTAGGGGAGGAGAAAGAGCTGCTGTCATAGCATTAAAACTAATGTCATCTCCATATGCCCGGTGGTGTGTCCGCTGCGGTGGGCTTGGTGGTCTGGACTGGGCCCTCTGCGAGACGGCTGAGGAAATCCCAGCCAACACTTGCCCCAACATCTGTAACATCTGGAGCTCCCTGGTGCGCTCAGCTTCCCGGTGCTTGTCCTCCATTTTCAGCCTCTGCTCTTCATATCTGAAAAATTTCTCTTCTGCATCCACACTTTGCTGTAACAGTTTCCCCATCATCTTGTCAAGAGGTATACTGGTATGGCGCTTTTTTGATCTTTTTGGTTGAGAAAGATGAGGTGTGCTGGTCTGAGCACCAATATGCTTAAAGCCTACAATTTTTAAAGCAAATAATGATTTTTGTTGTTACTCAAATAATGACAAGTACATATATTGTCATTTTTCCTGCAGTTCAATATAAACTTTATTAGAATAGTAAGTAACAAGGGACTTAAATAACAAATAAATTATGGAATCATTTGAACGACTATGCCAGATACATAGATCTGTAACAGTTAATTATTCAAAAACATTTTTTTATAAGTCCCATTTACCATACACCAAAAATATATATGCTGATCGTGCAAAAACTTGTATTAAATTCACATCGCAATCTTTATCATATCCAGAAAGAAAACACAGGGGAGGAGGAGCTCTTGTTTTTGAACTACTACTTTGTCCCAAATAGGACTGTGGTATTTTGGAGCTAAAAGTATATAAATGCCATCACCTTCAAAGCAACCTAACCAATCCACAGCATGCAAAATTCATCTCTTCCTCTTCTATTAGGTGTATACTTTGTTTAGACTTTATCAGTGTTCCCAGTTTATGGGCTGTGATAAACTGCCCACATGTTAACAGTTACATCAAGGAACAGGTTTAGGAATCCTTGAGAATATTAAGCCTCCTCTGTAAACTGAATGCGTGAAGATTTGTGTATGAAAAACTGCCTTTCAAATATGGATCATTTTTTTAATTATTTAAAAAGCATAATTGAGTTGACAGTAGCTTTTTGTTACATACTTAAAACATAGCTACTAAAGGTAAAGCAATTGTTATTACATATGTAGTTCTGAGACTTTCAAACACACAGAAATTATGTGCTAGGGAATGAAACACACATAAAAAAAATGGAGTTTTCATATCTGAACTGGTGGATATATTAAACTTTGCCTACATCGAATGAGGTGCCTCTCCCAGACTATGGCTTAAAGGCAAGGTTCATGTATTTTCCATGTTTGGCACTCCCCACCCTCAATTGCTTCTGTTGTTGTTGTTATGTGCCGTGGAGTCGGACCCGACTCATAGCGACCCCTCCTTGGGTTTCTGAGGCGGTATCACTACAGAAGTAGATTGCCCAACTTTCCTTCCGAGGAGTGGCTGGTGGGTTTGAACCGCCAGCCTTCTGGTTAGCAGTCAAATGCCTAATTGCCTCTAGCAGTGTTTTAAACAGAATAAAACACTCAATGAATGTTTGCTGAATTAAAGGCATCTCAGTTCACTCTTCTCATCAACAGCCAGTTTAACCTTGTTTTATAGATAAAGAAGTGAAGGCCCAGAAAGACAGACTTGTGAAGATGCCACAGTTAGTAATGGACAACCCAAGCCAGAAGACTCTCTTTCACCAAAAGGCTAACATTTTAAGGCAAAAGAAATAATTTCTCAACCTAATAAATATTCACCCCACTGACCAAAAGTCAAGTCAAAACCTTCACAAATGCCATCTGGAACCATTTGAGAGGGGCAAAAAAAATCACTGTCAAGAAGTATAATTTCCACTTTTTAAGTGGAATTGTATGAATACAAAATATAAATGCAAACTGCTTGCTACCATTCTGTCCCATTCACTTGACACAAATACCTCCTATTAGTTAAAGGGTCAAATGAGGTCATCTGGTGGCATAGTGCCCAAGGCATTTTGACTGCTAAACAGAAAGGTTGGCGGTTCAGACTCATCTCAGAAGGAAGACTGGGCAATCTACTTCCGTAAAGATTTACCCCCTCGGAAACCCAAAGGGGGTCTCTAGGAGTCAGAATCGACTCAATGGCAGTGAGTTTGGTTTTTTTTTTTTTTGGTTTATACTTAATAAAAGGAGGTCTGGTGGTGCAAGGGTTAAGTATTCAGCTGCTAATAAAAAAATGGTGGTTGGAAGGGGGAGGGGTGCCAGGGGTGGGGCAGAGAGCACCTGGCAATCTGCTCCTGTAAAGATTACAGCCTAGAAAATCTTAACAGGGCAGTTCTACTCTGTCACATGGTGCTGCTATGTATGAATTGAAATCCAGTGGAAGCAACTAACCAACAACACTTAAAGGTTTCAGTTGACTTACTGATATGTACCATTTGAACTTACCCACAGAAGTATTTAAATATAAACATCAATGTTTTGAGGGATAAAAAGGCCTTCACAAGAGGCGACTTAAAATTCACCCTGTTAAGTAACTTTGTCATTACCACAATTCTAAGTCTGGAAAAACAGGTCAAGTTTGTCTGGTTTTTGTTTGTTTTAAGGAAGTCTGGCTGAGAAAGACTAGAGAACTAAAATGATTGCTTAGTCTAGGCTGTTTTCTAGAATTACTTGTTAGTTACAGCTTTTCCTGTTGTCTTACGGTTTCTCTCTACCAAAAGCGCTTTAAATTAATTTGACTTTTTAACTAACTTATCATGTCACAGAAACCTTTAAGCTAATCAAGATACCCTGTGTTTCCCCATAAAAGACGGGGGATATCAGTGATCTAGGACTCCACTTTTTAGTAAAAGCTTAGCAAGTCAGTCTTATAATGAAACCCCAAACAACCTCAAAGAAAAACCTTGCTAACCAATCATAAGTGTGTGAACTTAAGACAAACAGCTACCCCAAAAAACTCTCTAAAATAAAGCAGCACTCAGAAGCCTCTCTGCTTGCTTCAAGTGTAGAAACCAGTGGAGGGAATCTTTCAACGCAATTGGAACTAGTGTGCCAAAAAACAAAAGGCGGAAAATTCCTAACAATTACTCTCTAATCATGCCCACCATGTACACAAGGTAAAAAAGCTTTCCAAGAACTACTGTGGTAAAACTTTTCGCCTTTACAGTCACATGAGAGTGCATCTTACCATTTCAGCCACTTATTGGCTGTGGAATCCCAAGTCACTTCTTAGCGCTTCTATTTATTCTCTATATACAAAGATGGATAATAGCAAACTCCCTACCTTGTTGTAATAAATGAGATAACACAATATGTAAGCTATTTAGCTGCATAAAAAAATTAAATAAATATTCATAGGGGAGACGGAAAAAAACTATTATATGAGGAGATATGGAACCCCAAACAATTCGAATCTGCTTGTTCAATTTATACCTAAATTCTTTCTACATAGTTCATCCCATTTGAAAAGCATCTCAGAATCCAGGGACCTATTATTGGGAATTCTACGAACCAATAGCCAAAGTCAGGAATGAGAGTCTACTAGGTCACAGGAAACTCTTGGAATAAACCCTTTCCTAGGCGACACATACACATACACACACACACACACACACACACACACTCTTACACGCACAAGGCCTGCCCCAAGGCTGCACTCACCGTCTCCAGGCGGCACGGGGATGGCGAAGGGGGCACATTCCACCTTGACTGGATGCTCGCCGAAAGAGGAGCCCTCGCCGGTCAAGTCCTTCTCAGCAGCCTGGCCCTGGCCGGCAGCGTCCCCGGGCGTGGGACATCCCTGGGGAGGCGCAGGGGCCCCGGCAGCGGCCCGGGCACCCAAGATACGGTCCATCTCGTCGAAGAACTTGCAGGCCTTGCGCGCAGGCCCACCCTTGGGGAGCCCGTCCTTCGCCTGGTAGTATTGGCGCTTTAAGCCCTTGATGCGGATGCGGCACTGCTCCGGGGTCCGATCGAAGCCCACCTGGGCAAGCCTGCACGCCACGTCCCGGTACACATGGCTGTTCCGAAAGTTCCCGTCCAACGCTGACTGCACGTCCGCTTCTCCCCAGATGCCCAGCAGGGCTCGCGTCTCCAGGTCGGACCACAAGAAGCCTCGGGTGTTGGCGATCATCATCCCCAACCCCCGTAGATGCGAGAAAAGGGACCGCGAGCACCGCAACACAAGGGAAGAAAAAAGCCAGACAAAATACCGATCCTTTGCGGGGCAGCCGGGGAGAGGAAGCACGGCTCCAAATAGCGCAGGAGCTGTCGGACACGCACTCCGCTGCGCTTCACATTTCTCCAGTATACTCGGGGAACCCGCGCCGGGAGACAGGCGCCCTTCACTCCGCTCCGCCCGCCGCAGAAACAAAGTTTAAAACCAGGCGTCGAGCACAGCTCCGCGTCCCCATTCACATGCAAATCCACAGTGAGGTGAGAGAACCCCGTAAGGATCCCACCGCCAGGCCCAGGGATTGCACTCGGACAGCCCCGGGTCCTGTGCACCCCAGCAGCTGCCGCAGCAGCTCAGTCACTCACGCAGGCTGTGTCGCTCCGACCACAAGCTTCCAGCGACCAGACCAGCCCCTTCCCGAGGCCAGCTCTCCGCGCCGGCGGCAACAATTAAAGCTTCCCTTCCACAGAAGCGCCTACACTCCGTCTTCCCGCGCCGGGCGCCCCGCCGCAGTCGGATACACCTCTCCGAGCGTGCCCCGCTCTGCATCTGCGACCGCTCAGACCCTTTCCAACGCACCCCGCACCACTTCCCCGCCGCCTCCCTCCGCCCTTCGGTGCCACTCACGCACAGACGTCCCCGCCTCTGCTCGGGTGACAGGAGGAGGCGCCGCCTCCCCCAGCCTCTCTACGTCTGCACCATTCCAGGAATGCCCAGCAGCTGGCCCAGCCACCGTGCTCCCCGACCCACTCTGCCTTCTGCAGGATCGCGCACAGACCAGGTGGAGACTTGGCTCTCCTCCAGCCGCGCTCTCAACTCGCCACTCCCAGCCGCGCTTTATGGCGCCATCCTGCACACGACTTGCTCTAGGAACCTCGGCGACACGTCTCCCTGATGATCCCCGGCCCTCGCACTCAAGCAGCTCCATTCAATGTCTCCCACACGGAAAAGGGATGCAAATCTCTCGTCTCCCACCCGCCTGTGAGAAACAGTCCCGAGGCCGAGTACCTGTTCGCAGAGGCAGCCAGTAGAGCGCGAGCGCGGACATGAGCAGCGCTGCAATGGCCCCGCGGGTGGCCATGGTCCAGGCTACTACCCAAGTGATCATCGCCAGATGAGAGCGGTGCCTCTCTTCAGCCAAGGTCCAGCTCCCTCTCCCCAGTAAGGCCTACATTGATCTTACCTAGCCTGCAGGCCGGGAACCCGAGAGCAACGCGTATTGCTAAACCACCCAGGCGTTGAAGCACAACCATTGGACGTTTCTTCCGGGTTCAAGGCCGACTCCGCGCTGTAGCTGCCGCAGGAAATAGGTTTCCAACTCGCAGTGGGTCGGGACTCCGGCTCTCCCCACCCCCTTACCGGCTCTTCACCAATCACCACTTAGTCTCAGGATGATTGACATGCACGACGCCAAACGGCCTAGGCGAGGAAACGCTGAAGCCCGGGCCACAGGTCTACTCAAAAAGTGTTTTGCTGTAAAGCAGGGTTATATAGAAAGAATCAAGATGGGGCTTAATATTTTAGGGCTTGATTTGCTTTTATAGTTCCTATTGTGAGTATGTGATGTTATTGAAAATAAGAAGTAAAGCTGCCTAACTGGCAAATAGGTTGTGATAAGAACAATTGCCAGAGTTGGCATTAGGCATCATAGACCAGGCATGCTCTGCGGACTAATTTTGCGTTGTCCAAAAACATTGTTGGGCCGGAGAATTTCTGTAGATTCCAGACTGGTATTTAGGGGGAAAAAAAAAACCTAAACCCATTGCCGTGAATTCTCTTCTGACTATCCAATTGCTTACTCACCTGCTCTTGGATGTGTAAACAAAAAATCAAATCCATTGCTGTGGATTCCGCTCTGATTCATGGGACCCCCTGTGTTACAGAGTAGAACTGCTCCTTAGGGTTTTCGTGGCTGTAATTTTATTTTATTTTATTTTGTAACTTTTTCTTGTGATCTGGGTGAAAGTTTACAGAGCAAATTGATTTTCCTTGCCACAGTTCGTGCACATATTATTTCACGACCTTGATCGCAATTCCCACGTTGCAATAGCACTCCTCCCACTTCCTCCCTGCAGTTTCCATCTTCCTTTGTCCCTCTTTCCATCCTTGCTGTCAGCTTTACCCCTGGGCAGAGGCTGCCCTTTTGATCTCCCATGGCTGATTGCTCCAAGGAGCAGTACCTCCTGGGTGTTACTGTTCACCTCACAGATCTGTCCACTGTCCAGCTCAAAGTTGAGTCACTCAGGTGAGTTCAGTCCCAGCCTTGAAGGGTGACTAAGGGCCAGAGTCTTGGGGGTTCCACTAGTCTCTATTAGACCAGTAAGCAGGGTCTCTTTTATTATTATTTTTAGTTTTATTCTATTTCTCTCCCACGCGATCTAGGATCTCCCATAGTTATCCCTTTCAAAGTGGTCAGCAGTGGTAGCTGGACACCATCTCTTTTTTCTGGTATCATGGCGGTAGAGGCTGAGGTCCCCATGGGCCCTAGTCCTTTGGATTAATTGTTTCCATGCATCTTTGATTTTTTTCACTCTTCTTTGCTCCACAAGAGGAGAAACCAATAGTTGCACCTTAGATGACCACTCACAAGCTTTTAAGACTCAAGTGACCACTCACCAAAGGAGAATGTGGAACATTTTCTTGGTGGGCTGTTATGCTAATTGATGTCCCTTACAACTATGGACTCATTCCTTTAAAATGTTTGATTATGGCTAAGAAGTTTTCATAACTTTGCCCTCTGGTAGCTCTACTATATACATGTATATTTTTGCAGCACATACAAATATGTATGTATGTCAAACCAATATATGGTCATGTGTATACTCCTGTTTGCGTAACCATTACCTGATCATCTTGCTTGTCTATCTATGTATCCACTTATAGATTAATGTTTGTTATTACTGATAATGCTTTCCTATGTATGAAATGGGTTTACTTTTTTTGTCTGTAACACTTGTGTATCTCTCAATGTGTTTCTTCCCCTTATTGGTACTGTGCTGGTCACCTACTTTTGTATATTGCCTTTTCCTTCACCCAAATTGCTACGTGTCTCTGTGGCTGTAATCTTTTAAGACAGCAGATTACTAAGCCTTTTTCTGCAGCACAACTGAGTGAGTTGGAATCACTGATATTGAGGTTAGGAGTGGGGCACCAAAAGGTCAGCAGTTTGAACAGCAGTGCTTCTCAGGAGAAAGATGTGACAGTCTTCTCTGTACAGATTATAGTCTTGGAAACCCTATGGACCAGTTCTACTCTGTCCTGTCACTATGAATCAGAATTGCTCAATAGCAATGGATTTGGTTTGTTGTTGTTGTTATGTGCCGTCAAGTGAGACCTGACTCATAGCAACCCCTCCTTGAGTTTCCAAGGTGGTACCACTATGGAAGTAGATTGCCTAACCTTCTTTCCAAGGAGTGGATGGTGGGTTTGAACCACCAGCCTCCTGGTTAGCAGTCAAATGCCTTAGGCACTATGCTACCAAAGCTCCTGAGTTTGGTTTGTTGTTGTTATTATGTGCTGTCGAGTCAGCCCCGACTCATAGCGACCCCTCCTTGGGTTTCCGAGGCAGTATCACTACGGAAGTAGATTGCCTCATCTTCCTTCCGAGGAGTGGCTGGTGGGTTTGAACCACCAGCCTTCTGGCTAGCAGTCAAGTGCCTTAGGCACTAAGCTACCAGAGCTCCATGACCAAAGTAGGTGAGACGAAGTCTGACCATTCTTGCTTCTAAGGAGTATTCCAGCTGTACTTCTCCCAGGATAGATTTATTTGTTCTTCTGGGAGTCCATGGTATTTTCAGTGTTCTTCACCAGCACCACAATTCAAAGGCATCAACTCTTCTTCCGTCTTCCTTATTTATTGTCCAGCTTTCACATGCATATGAGGTGAGTGAAAATATCATGGCTTGGGTTAGGTGCACCTTAGTCTTCAAAGTGACATCTTAGCTCTTCAATGCTTTAAAGAGATCTTTTGCAGCACATTTGCCCAGTGCAATGCGACATCTGATTTCTTGACTGCTGCTTCTATGAGTGTTGGTTGTGGATCCAAGTAATATGAATTCTTTGACAACTTCCATCTTTTCTTCATTTGTCATGATGTTGCTTATTAATCCATTTGTGGGGATTTTGTTTTCTTTATATTGAGGCGTAACCCATACTCAAGACTGTTGTCTGTGATCATCATCAGTAAGGGCTTTAAGTCCTCTTCAGTTTCAGAAAACAAGGTTATCTCATCTACATATCTCAGGTTGTTAAGTCTTTTTCCAATCCTGATGCTGTATTCTTCTTCATATAATCCAGATTCTCAGATTATTTGCTAAGCATACAGATTGAATAAGTATGGTGAAAAGATGCAATTCCAGTACATGCCCTTTCTGATTTTAAACGATGCAGTATTCCCTTGTTCTATTTGAACAACAGCCTCTTAGTCTATGTATAGGTTCCTCATGAGCACAATTAAGTGTTCTAGAATTCCCATTCTTCTCAATGTTATCCATAATTTGTTATGATTCACACATTCAAATACCTTTGTGTAGTCAATAAACCCCAGGTGAACATCTCTCTGGTATTCTTTGCTTTCATATTACAGCCTTGGAAACCCTGTGGATACAGGTCTACTATGTCCCATAAGGTCCCTGTGAGTTGGAATCGACTCAATGGTAACAGATTTTTGGTTGTCTGCACCTTAGAAACAGATCCAGAATTTGTCTCTCTGCCATCCTATTAAAAGTCACCATCATGGATAGCCTGGATAACTGCAATAGCCTTCTAAATTCATCTCCCTTCTGTCTCTGACTCACTGCAAAAAGGAAGCTCCAATAGAAACACTGTATTTTTTTCCTTCTGTGTCTCCAGCACCTAGAACCTGGCATATAGTAGGTGTGCTCTTTCTCTTTGTTAAGATATAATTTGCATATAATAAAGTTCTCTAATTTTAAGTGTACGGTCTCTAAGTTTTTTTT